GTTTGAGGAGAGCGATGGAAAAGCCTTGCTCAGTCTCTTCTTCTCACTGAGGAGTTCAAAGAGCCCAGCGCTGTCCCGCACTCTCAAGGTTTTTGAGGTAAGCCAGAATTTCTTTGTGCAAAATATACTTTTAGACCAGATATCCTGAAGAAAATGGTAAAAGACTGATATTAGAAATTCTATCCTGATAAGAATCCTTATGGGCTCATATGTAAATTTGTATTTTTGTTTGACAACTACTTAGTCTTTAATTTGAAATATAAAATAGTTATCTGTAGGCTACATCATTTTTTCAGTTTAATATCAGACAAAATGTATTTTAAAAAGTATACTTTGCGAGTTACATAACTAGAAAACAGTTTTTGTCAGAAAAAAAATGAACTACTGAAAATTCAACTACTGAACACCACAGACATTTGAAGCCAAGATCCATCATCTTGAGACCAGACCCAGCCGAAAACCAAAGGACGGTTTGGAGGATCTGGAGTATTATGTTCAGTGTGAGGTGCACCTGTCAGACGTGAGCACACTGGTCAGCTCTCTCAAGAGAAGCGCAGAGGATGTCAAAACCACGAAAGAGGTCAAATGTGAGTCTATTAAAGAAGAATGTTGCTCTGTTTTATCTCGTCCTTATCTGAATGTCAGTTATGCTAAGCTTTTGTACTTTTGTCTTTCTCCAGTTCATTGGTTTCCCAGAAAAATTGCTGAACTGGATAAATGCCATCATCTCGTCACCAAATTTGATCCGGATCTGGATCAGGATCATCCAGTAAGTGCTGGATTAGTTCTTCTCTACTAATAAAATAAAAATACACCTAAATTTTGTCATGTATTTATTTTTTAACTCATTCCCCCGCCAGTGCTTTAAGAAAAAAAAAAAAAGAAAAAAAAAGTTGCCGGCATTTTTTATCATTTTCACAAAAATTTCATGGCCCCCAGAATCTTGTTGTATGAATATGTGAAAATGCAATATGTCAAAATAAAAAACAGAGCCTCTGCTTTTAAACAAAAAACCTAGCTTTATTTTTTTATTCTTATTTTATCAACATTTGAAGGTGGGTGAGTTTTCATAAAAAGGCAACATTTTGAACAAAAACCTGATAAAATCAGATACAGATTGATGATCAAAACATAGATGGAGTAAATCACTTGCATCAACACTCCCAAAGCTTCACAGTCCTAAACCACTTCCTGAATCATCATTTCATTCGGTAAATTTAGGCAGGTTTGATTTATATGCTGTTTAATGTTTGCATTATTTTACATATGCAGCTGCTGAAATACGCGATCACTTGTTTCTGCTGCTTCTTTGCCGTGTTTTAATCCAGAGATTCAGTTCCGTATCTGTCGGTCACTACGAGTTATGTCATGGTCGGCGTCACGGTGCGAACAGCGGTG